TTTTCTTGAAAAATGGGATCTAAGCATTTTTTATTAAAATTTTAATTTTTATTGCATTTTAATCTAATATTATTAAAAAATAAAATGCATTAAAATTAAAATTTTAATCAAAAATTCTTAAAGCCCTATTTTACTAGCAAATATTTCATATTAATTATAATAGAATATTATAAAATTACTTATAAAGAAATACTTTTATTATAATTTTTATAATTTATTAAGAAATTTTATGACTTTATTAATTTTAAAATTAAATTATTTTAAAAACCTTTTAAAAAACTTAAAATTTTGTTAATAAAGTTAATAATATATATATTAAACTATATTTTTATATAATAATAAAATCATGAAATTAATAACATTTTATCCTTTAAATCAGATTTTGCAGGTATATTTGATTACTTATTTACTATAAATTTTCTTTTTATTTACTTTTATAAATAATTAAAAAATTTTTTAAATTAATTTTATAAATATATAATAAATTATAGCATGTTTTATCTTTTAATTTATATATTAAAAATTTAAGATTACTTAGAAACTAAAATTTGTAATTTTTTAAAAAAACTTATATTAAAAAATTTTATGATTAATCTATGATCAACTTTTTAGAATTTATTTTTAACTATATATAATAGAATATTATAAAATTACTTATAAAGAAAAATTTTTATTATTATAATTTTTATAATTTATTAAAAAATTTTATGATTTTAATTAATGATAAAATAATTCAATTAGTACACAAATATATAAATTTTTAAAGAATGTTTAAAAAATTATTATAAGAAATTGTTTGAAACTTAATTTTAAAAATAGATTATTTTAAAAACTTTTAAAAAACTTAAAGCATTTGTTAATAAAATTGATAAAAAAATATTTTTATATAATAATGTTATTACTAAAATTAATATATAATATTTTATAAAGAAATTACTTTTTTTTAACTTTGCAGGCAAATTGCCTGCTTTATAGTTTAAGGAATAATTAAATATTTAAATTATTATTAGTCACAAAATATGCTTTCTAATTTAAAGTTATTGCTAAAATTCATACTAGTCAAAATCAAAAAAATTGAATAAATGATAAACCATTTATTAATTGTATGTCAATTAAATATAATCATCAATTAGCTAAAGATCAACCTAAATCAACTATTCAATTTATAGTAAATTAGACTTGAATTAAAATTTCAATTTTGATAATCCAATTGGATAATACAAAAATCATTTGATTGGAAAATTCTTCTTAAAAAAATGGTAGAAATTATTTTTAAGAGAAGATAAAGACAATCATTTTATTTGAAACATTAAATAATTATTTAAATTGAATGATTTGACATCATTCCAATCAGTTAATACAAATTATCTGATTGAAATGATCAAAAATTCTTTCTTTTAGGATGATATATCATCATTTAAATAAGAACAAATTAAAAAATATTATTCTATAGGAATTATAGATCATTAATCTTATTGAATGATCAAAAAATTATCCTAAAGAAATATTGCATTATCTGCATTATCATTCAATAAGAACAATTTAAAAAAATTATTTCAAAAAGATGATGCATCATTATTTAATAAAAACAATTTAAAAAATTATTCCAAAGGAATAATAGATATCATTCTTATTGAATAATCAAAGATTCGTTTCTTTGAATTTATGCAATTTCATTTTTATTAAACAATTTATAAAATCATCCTAAAGTAATGATACACTATTATTCAATAAGAATGATAAATAAAATTGTTCTAAAGGAATAATAAATCATCATTTTTATTATATAATTAAAAAATCATTCCAAAGAGACAATAGTTATCATTCTTATTAAATAATTAAAAAATGTTCCTTCTGAATAATAATTTATCATTTAATAAGAACAATTTAAAAAAATCATTCCAAAGAAATAATAAACATCATTTTTATTAAATAGTAAAAAAATCATTCCTTTAAAATGATACAATATTATTCTTATTAAACAATTTATAAAATCATTCCAAAAGGATAATATACTATCGTTCTATAAGAATAATAAATAAAATTATCTCAAAAGAATGATAGATCATCATTCTATAAGAATGATAAAAATTAATTCTTTAAAATAATGATCATTTGATTTGAATAATTCAATATTATTTTAATCAGATGATGCAAAATCATCTGATTGGAATAATCAAATCATCATCTTTGAGAATTATATAAATTGTTTAATAAGAATAATAAAAAGGTTAAAAAAAAGAAAAATTTATTTTCAGATTATCTGAAAGTTTATCAGTTTTATATTATAAACTAAATAGAAAATTTTGATTAATTAGCCAATTGGATGGTTTTATATTGTTCAATTGGAATGATTCCTTTTTCTTTTTTTTTCTGTATTTTTTTTTAGAAATATTCTTATTTTGAAAATTTTTTTACTATTTTTCATTATTTTTTTAGAAAAATTCTCATTCTGAAAATAAGTAAATAAATCAACCCTATAAAAATTCCAAATAAAAAAATAATCCAGTGAGACCTCCCTAAATGCATACCCTCTTTAAATGCATAGAACTTAAATGCTAAATGTATCATCTATGTTCCACATATGCAATAAGTTTTCTGGTCCTTTCATATTACAAATTTATTCTCTAAATGCATGTCACGTGACTCAAAATCAAAATTTGATTCCAATTCCAAAATAAATATGTTGATCCTTTCAATTCAGTCAATTCATTAAATTGTAAATAGTAACGGTAACAATGAATTATTATCGTGCTTGGCAGTAACATGACTTTTATTTAATATATAATTAGATCAACCGGTTAAAAAAATGATGTGATCACATCTCTAATCACAATGCTAAACATTGAATTATTGGAATATTAAAAAAAATTTTTAAAAAAATAAGCAATTAACCTATAATTGTAGCTCTATACTATAAGTCTTTGATCGGAATTCTTCAAGTTTAGAGGTAAGTCCTATAGAGGGAAAATCTATTAATTTGATTTTATTAAAAAAATAATAATAAAATTAACAAAACTTATCTTTTTGTAATCTTTCAAGCTAACACATCAAGCCCAGAGATAAGTCCTATAAAGGGAAAAGTCAATTAATTCGATTTTATTAAAAAAAAGTTAACTAACAAAACTCATCTTTTTGCAGTTCTTGAAGCTTTTGATCAGAATTCTTCAAGTCCAGAAGTAAAAGTTTATGAAGGGAAATGATAATACGCCGGTGAATAAGAGTTACCACGTAAGATTAATTCAGTATTAAGCCGTAGAATTATTACTGATGCTTATATACATTTTACATTTTATATATTTATAGACTCAATAATGTGACTTAAGTATAAAATGTATAATTTAAACAAGTTACAATTGAATCTTTCCATCGTCAACGACAAGTGTTTGCGTAGTTTCTTTCGCACGCGCGATTAGTTGCATCCCAAGCTTCGATAGGAGTATTTACAGTTATCAGGAGTTTCAAGCGATTTCCCGAGAGATGCAACTTTATTACTACAGTTTATTTCTCAAAATCACCTATCATGGTGATTGTCGAAAATTTGTATTAATCGCATTTTAAGAGCATTGCAAGTAAATCACATTAACGATCTTATAATTTACTATATCTCATGATTTGATTTATTGGCAACACTTCATTTAATATTGTGTAAAATGATGAACGATGTACCGGTAGGTATTAATTTTTTGTTACTAAATTATAATTAATAACTTTATTGCGAAAGATAAAATATCACCATAATTGCCGAAGATGTACACATTTTATTTAGACTTGTAAAAATCATTCCCACCATTTATTGCAATTTACCGTTTCAAAGGAGTACGATAAAACCAATGTGTTTAATAAAAGATTCGTATCTGTTAACTATATTTAATGATGCAGTAGTTTACAAAACTTTAAATAGGACAAATGAATGAATAGTTTAAAAAAAATTTAATAATATAAATATCGGTCAAATTCCCGCTTATAATACCATATTTTGAGTTTATTACTTAGATATTATTTTTTTTATATTTTTCTAACAAAAAAAAAAAATAATATAATTTTTAGTTAAAATTCTTGACGCCATGTTTGAAAACAAAAATTATCTGCGGAAATTCGTAAAATCGGGATAACGATTATCCGAATCTGCATCAATAGACCACAAAATTTTTCGTTAATTCAATAATTAAAACTTGTCGTCTGATATTAAAATTAAAGTTACAAGACATATTAAATCAATAATGGCAATCTTCCCATAAAAGATTTTGATATTCCATTTATTTTTAAAGCATCGTTGATATCTTTATATAAAATAAATTGCACGCAATCCAATCATCGCATCAATTGATTCGTGATAGCCTAATACAACATTTATTTAACTCATTTTTCCCAAATTTGCTAATTATTTTCACAAAGTAAAAGCACAAATAGATAAATTTTATTTTGATAGCGAATTTTTTTATTAAGGTGATAACTTGTCTTATTAATAAAATTAACTCATTAAAGCATGAAAAATTCATGACAGTTTTGATTCGCTTGCACAATGTCGTTAAAACTTACTATAGAGCCTAATTCCAACGATAAAGTAACAATTCAAAATAAAGTTTGAAATAATAATAATTTACAAAATTATAATGCGAAATTCAAAATAGATAATGTATGGTGATAAATAGTATGGGAGAATGATAAACCACACTCTCTCGACACTCTTGACGTTATGACGATGAATTGTAACTTGAAATAATGTATCCTCGAGATCTAATTTGCTTTCATTATAATATTTCGTATTAGGCAATCCGTCGATTTCGTAATGAGGAGGAGTGCCGATCATTGAAGCACTCCAGTATAAAGTGAAAGCGCTTGAACTACCGTCATCTATGATAAAAGTAGCAATACCTTTCAATTCGCCTAAAAAATGACTTGCAATGCTGGAAAATGTTTCGTTTTGACCATTTGTGAGAGGTTCGGTTTGTGGTTCGCAGTTAATGTCGATATTCTCATGATCATCATGCGTAACAAAACGTCCTTTCTCGAGTTTAACCGGCAAGGGAGTTATATTATAACCACTCTTATTAACGATAACAATGGTTGCAACTCGTTCATGGTTTTTATTAGCAATTTTTTTTGCTATGTAAGCACAACAACTTTCTCCTTGGCAAGCGTTATAATCAATAACATCTCGTTCAATAAAAGAGTTGGAATTAATTGATGTAGATAGGATTACAAGAATGATGAAGGTATTGATGATGAAAGTATAATGTTTAGGAGACATTATTAAAAAACCCATATGATTAATAAATTTCATAAAAATTCAAAATAATAAAAAAAAGTGTAAAATTAATCATCCAAAAAGCATTTTATAATAACAAAAGTTTAGAATTGAACAACTTAACGATAAAAAAAAAACTTGTAATTACCAAGTTAAGTGTGTAAGTTTTGTGATAATGGTTAGGGCTTGGGTGATACGGATAGAGTGACGCAGAGTCGAGGTGATGATTAGAGTATATTAACGCGAATGATAGAATGATATTGAGTTTATATTTTTTTATTACTAAACTTATTTAACCTACCAACAATAACGTTAATTCCTAGAAATTCAGAATGAAAAACAATACACAATATTTGCTCACGTGACATACTCTAATCATCACCTCCACTTTACTCCACTCCTTTTCATATTACCTTTAGGGCTTAGTAATCGCTAAGCAAATGGGGGCTAAGTATATTAAAACCAAGTTAATAAACTTTTTTTTTTAAATCGGACAGCATGACAATGTTTGGCTTCTTATTGATCGAAGCATAATAGACGGTTCACGCAGTAGATGTCATTTGATTATTGATATCGTTAATGTGTCATTCTTTAAAAAAGAAAGGAAAAATATTATATCTCCTATCCTTCTCTCCAACCAAACTATTTAAAAAAGACTTTTTCTCAGAATATAAATAATCAGCAAAAAAGAAAAAAAAATTGATGGATAAAAATCTACTATCTCTTTCCTTTTACCTTTCTTTGTCGTATTAAAAAAATAAAAAAAAAAATAAAATAATATTAAAAAAAAAAAAAGTAGCAGCATGAAAATTCTTTCATATCTGGTATAAGAAAATTTTAGATTATAACGAAATTGATGTAGTATCTTTCCGTTAATATAATAAATTTTAAAAGGTTGTTATATAAAGGAAAGAACAACGTATAGCCAAAAAAAAGCTCAAAAAGAAAACGATTTTGTGAGAAGGTTCTAATAAAATCGAGTTTCTATAATTTTTTTTTTGTTTTTTTATTGACATTGATGCCATAATTCAGTTGGTACGATACGGTTTTTTAAAGTTTGCTTCGTAGATCCATTTGTACAATTTTTACCTAGTGCATTTTACAATAATACCTTATTGAAATTTAGTTATATAGCTTAAAGGAAAGTACAAGATAAGATAGAATTTAGAAATTTCCTTCGCATTCACTATATTAACGGAAACTTAATAAAAAACGAAGTTTGAGTCAATGCAATGCCTTATTATTGTTTTTCGTTATTTTTAGTAAATTCACTTGAAAGTATAACCTTCTGCTTACCTTACAATTGTTTGTAAGAATAAACATAAAGAATTGCGTATAACAATACGTTCGTACTCTTTTATATTTGTTGTAGAATACATCCTGAGCTATCCAATGCTACACATTTTAGTGTTATTCTCTTGTGTTTATCAATTTATCAAATTTGGTTCCTAATAGGTAGCGTAGTTTCTGCTCGATAATGAATCACATAATAAGTATCTTTTCTCACCGCAAAATATAATTTTTTCATAACATTAATATAATAGTTTAAGTTTATAAATTACAACTTATGAATTACAATTATTTGACTATCAAATATTCAACAAGACAAAAAGGCGTGATGCCGTTTACACTGCTTTTAGTAGCAATTATTTTAAAACTTTTTTTATAATCATTTGTGAATAAAAATAATTTTACTATTTCCATTGCATAAATTTTCTACATAAATAGATCATATCCCAGTAATCCCAGTGGCAAATAAATCAACGCAACGTAATGAAATTAATTATTAGAATGCTTTTAAGCATCACAGTACGCCACTCATCACCTCCACGGGACTCCACACCTTTACGTATTACCACTTATATCAAGCTATAATCAAAATCCACCAGGCGAATCAGTTCGTGTGGTACACATTCAGTAATGCAGTATGTAACAATAAACTGTACTTTGCCAATAGTCAAACGTGTTTACTAATTTAATATCATGTAAGAAGAATAATGGTGATAATAAACAGTTTAATAAGAAATAACCAGGATTTAGTATTTGGTGTATTCGCTATATTTGAATCTGACTTATCAGATTAAAAAAAAAAGTCCTTATTTCAATATTCAAAAAATAATCCTGAACGGCATCATACAACATCACAAGCTTAACTATAAAGAAGTTGATAAACCTATAAATTGATGAGCGGCTATGAATACAATTAATTTTAATCCCGATTATTTCCTTTTTAATTCCGTATTATAGAAAGTCGAAATACTTTAGTCAGCTCTCGATATGAAAATATTTCATTTAGGATTTTTTTTTTTAAAAAAAAAATTCTAGTCTATAGTTAAATTACTATCATATATACTACCCTCGGAAAAGTATCCGATCAACCTTGAAAATGTGAGATTCACAGTTGCCGAGATCCATATCCATTTTTTCCATGTATCTTTATTACCAACAGTTTCTGCATCTTTAACAGAAGTGCAATCTGAACTTGAAGCGTCGATTTTTCTAGTGAGGACGACTGATATAGTACGTCCAAAGCCTAAGGCATGATTACAAATATTGGATGAGGGTGGAATTGTTATCTTGCCTGTGAGGCCATATGGAATGAAAATATGTTGGTGCCTAAATAAAATATTATTTAAATCTATCCAAAAAGTTTTTCTTTTCTTTTTCATATAAAAATTTACCTGAAGGGATCTACGATATCTGTCTCATCAATGGTTAGTGTAAATTATTTAACCAGGTATATACTGTATATGGGCTTCGTAATAAAGTTAGAAATCAAAATACAATAACAAAGGTATCACCATTTAAGTGAAAGAGGGTATATAACCATTGCTGTTTATATAGTAAATCATATGAATTACTTTTTTAAACTGTTCACAATATTATATCATTATTAAAAGAACAAAAAATTGTCCGTATATTTTGATGGCATAAAAAGGCATTACGTTATTATTAAAGAAGTTAAAATAAAGAGAACTATCCAAAACTTAAAAGGATTCGATACTTATATTAAAAAAATAAATATATTCTCATTAACCATATAATTTTATTGTTAAGAAATAATTGATTTGTAAGCTAGAAAAAGGTTGGCAAGGGCGGAATATTAGTAACCGGGGAAGTTGAGAATATACTATGTAAAATTTCAGGATTTGCATTCATGGTTTTACACCTAACTAACGTTTTTAGTTTTTTCATTAATTTAACCGGTTAAATTAACATTTCAATCGGTTAATGAAATATCTTAACCGGTTAACATTAACCCGGTTCCAACCTCTAGCCGGTGCGTTGTTAGCTGCAAAATTAACATTATTAAAAGATCATCAAAATTGATCTACAAATTATTATTTGACTTAGTTGACAAAT